AGGCTCCTTTGGGAAGCAACCTTCTAACCCTAGTCTTCTGTGCCCTAGAAAAGATATTGTTACAAGGCACAGCTGGCTGATCCTCCACCATATGTGCAGATGTCCAGTGTATCTCTGGCACCCACACCATCCGCTGGAGACATCTGTGCCCTAATTTGACCTGAAGCAGGCATCCTTACATAAAGAGAAATCTTAAAATGCAAAGACAGAAGGCAGAGATAAATTATTTGGGAAATCAGATGAGAAAGGGTGGAGGGAAAGGATCTTTAAAGCAGTAGGTGAAGGCCTAGCTGTATTATTCCCAATACTGTTATTGACAGCTACATGCATACATTCCCATGTGTCATTCTAAACAGACAGATGCCCATCACAGGAATGACTCACTTTGGAAGTTCTGAGGGTTGCGCAGGTAATTTGCCATCAGCCTAAAAGACTGCACCTAATTTGCACCAACATATGCATGGTGCTTAAAACAAAATACTCAGGAGGCCATAATGCTTGTTCATATGTGACTTTCTCATAAATGAATGGAAATTGTTTCTGTTTGGGGCTTCAATGGGAAAAAAAATCCACTGCTAATGTCTTCCTCCCAAAGTATCTCTACAGTTCGTACAAATCAGTTTCTGCAGACACAGATGTGACCTTCTGAAGACGTATACAACTTCCCAAGCACCTACTACTATAGTAGTGGCATGTGCCATTTCAGCTCTGATCCTGCCTCAATTATCAGTCAGAAGGATAAACAACTGTAATGAAAAAATCCTGACCCAGGAGCACCAAACCTCCGAGTTCTTGTGAAACCCAGTGTCCTCTGCTCAGACTGCAAAGTTTTGAGGTCAGCAGGCACCGCTGCCACTCTGCTGAGCTCTGCAAACCACTCTGACCCAAAACTGTGCCAGGGAAAGATGACCCAGATTCTAAAAAAATTAATAATACTCTGCTCATAATGTGCGAATACTCTTCTCTTTGTCCATGCATTGAGCACAGACTGACTGTCTTCAGGTATGGCCAGACACACACACCACACAGATAACAGTTTTTCAAGTTTAAGGCATGTTGTACATACACGCTTTACTTCTGTTTTTCAGTCACAAAAGAGTTCCCTTCACTGACATCCCTTGGCAGCATATGGTGCCGCCAGACAGAGGAGGGACCTGCACAGAATTGTGACGGCTTTTTTGCTTTCCTCCATGCCCTGATGAAAGGAAACACAGCCCAGTAACATCATTAGCTGCTTCCATGTGAATGCAATTGTACCCAGACAGTGTTAAAAAATCCCAACAAACAACTAGAAAAATGTGTGCGCGTGTGGCGGGGGTATAAGTGATTGTGACACAGTCTGAAACATAAACATAACATCTGGAAGCACTCTTCCCGAGTCTGCCTCTTTATCAGACAGATGGCTGGAGAGCTGTAAGCCCACGGGCCTCTCAAAAGGTTCAAGGCCAAGAGGATAAAGTGCTACATCACAGCAGTTTTCCATTATGCCAGTTTTTCTAAACGTCTCTCCATTCTCCCACACTCAGTTTCTCTACCCGGCTGACAGACATCAAAAGCACTGGGTGACTCCATTCCGCTGCAAACGAAGTACAACATCCATAGGCAGAAACATCAGCCCAGGAACAGACTGAAGGCAGCTTGCTCCAGCCCACTTCCAGGTTTGCAGGAGCAAGAGGAGTTAGGCCTAGATTAGCCCCAGTCGCTGCTTCTTGACACCACAGTTTTAGGATGCTCTGGCTTTGGCAGAGAAGCCAGCTTAAGAAATTCCCCTAACCCTCCTTGCTTCTACCTTTAATCCATCTCTCTCATCCCCACAGCTGACAGCATACCAGCTGGTGGAGGTATGCTATTAAAAAAAAAGACAATGAAAATTACTTAGGTTAAAAATAACCCTCGCTCTGTCTTGGAACAGCTCTTATACCCTGTGGTGGCAATCCAGAATAAACTACAGAGCAAATACGAGCCCTTTCACAGAAGCTGTTCTCAGGGTAGATGCGGTACACATCATAAATCAACCACACAAGCCTTAGGCTGGAACCAAACAGAGGCAAGATTACAATATGGAAATGGTTATAATAGTAACCAAAAATATCTCTTCATTTACCCTGAGGACACATTTCAAACCTACCAGCTTTCCTCCAGAAACGAAAAACAACAAGGGAAAACAAATGACCAAGCAAGAGTCTAAGACTTGTTTTCACTAATCAACACTTGTTATCCTCATCAATAGCTACTTGAATCTCAGCACAAATTGCATTATGAGGCACACAAACACTGCTGATTTCAAGCTGTTTTCAGTTACTTGCTATAGTGGTAAAGTCTTTCTGAATAAATCTAAGTTAAGAAGCGATAGCTCTTGGCTTTAGCAGCACAAATACAAAGAGAACAAATATTACTTAAAAAAGTAAAAAAGCGTGACCCACTTAAATTCTCAAGATTTAACTGTAAACAATTATTGATGCGATGTAGCTAAAATATGTCCCTTTTTATTATTTATATAATGTGAAAGCTATATTAGCTGCTAAGTGGTGTTGCATTAAGATATAAACTGCTTGTTTCAAAGTGCTTACAATGTAATTGTATCCATACACTAACAATAGTAGAAACGTGCAAGAAAAGAAAAGCAACGTGGCAATGAAAATGAGTAGTTGTATTGAGTACGGGCACTTGTTTCCAGGGATATGAAGGGGAAAGAGGGCAATGGTACTCCATGGTGCGTCAGGGAGATTCCCGAGTAAATGAGAGCACACAGAGAAAGGGCAGAATTTCCTGTTCACGTGCTTAACAACTCAATACATCACTCTCTGCAGTATGACCAGAATGAATCCTCGATGTAGGTTTATCTGGCTACACAAAATAGTTTGTAGGAGGCAGCACTCCAATGCAATTCTCCTGATGAGAATCAGCTGGGGACATGTGACAATACAAGGGGAGAGCCAAATTACTCCTGTTGGTTGCAGCAGAGTGACAAGGCACAACTGTAGAAGACCCTTCACCCTCCTTTCCTGCTACCTGATTCTCTGAGCTGTGCTAGAAATGGTCATGTAAAGAAAAATAACATGGGAAAAAACATACTACGATCTTCTTGAATGCTTTATAAACATTCACACAGCTTGTCAAGAACTACAAACTTTAATTTACTTGCTTTTCAGAAGCTCTTCTGCAAAGACAGTGGAACTCTGCTTAAATTAACCAACATATTTATGAGTTGGCTGAGTGTGCTGCAAGAGAAGATTAGCCTGTGTTGATGCTGGAACTCCAGAACAGTACCTCACACCTATGCTGACCTTGCTACAGAACCGCACATCACCCAAATGAACTGCACTGCTCAACTACCCTGAAAAAGCTGGTGGCAGCACAGAAAGATCCCATCAGGGACTTGCAATTCTGAACCAAATTAAATTAGCTTAATAGAATATTTGTGCTCTGCACAGAGGGCTCCAAGTGACACTTAGAAACTCAGTAATGTAATGCCCACTGCACTGTATGCTTTCCCACTGGGATCTCAGTACACACATGCCCAGGTTTCCCTATCCCTGTATCCTTGTACACAAACATTTCATTCAAGCCTAGGTTAGTCATGCTTTCAGAAGACAGAGACTATTTACGTACACAAATGAAAGAGGCCTTAATTAAAGCATTGACTTTTATTTGCATAATTAGTGCTAAAAATATTTTATGGGTTAATTAGACTTTATGCAAATTTGATTGAGAAGATTTAATTTGGGGTTTGATAACCTGACTATTTAGTTGCGCAGTTGCAAATACACTCAGTTACATGCTGTTCTAAAGCCATGTCCTCCCTTTCAAACGGTTTTATTTTTTACTTCTGGCAGGCTCAAATGATATATTTTTCCTTTCGCTTTACCCACCCCCACAAACTCTCCACTGAAAATCTCACTAACTGCAATGATATCAAATGTAAATACATTGAACCAGTGAGCTGCTCATGACAACAGAAATTTCCACACTTTAAAGCAGTCTAATATTTCCCAGGCACTCTGACGGGGCACAGAATACAAACATTAAAATCTGCTCAGGTTTTCTGTGCCTGAAGATAGTACAAACCGACTGCATGGGAAAGCAATAACCAACCCAGCATCCACCGAAGATTTTATGATACTCTTCAATAAGCCCAGGTTTGAGGCTAATAATAACTGCAGAGCTAGGGAAGCCTTGCTCGAACTCCACAATGAAAATGCTCTGTGTGAACTAATGTATAGCAGTGTTGTGCGAATTCATTAAGATGATACTCAGTAAGAGCAAAATAATTTCCACCAAAAGCAGCAATACATAACTATGTGTTACAGAAGACAATCATACTTACTGAACAAGCACTGCTTTTACGTCTGTGGAACAACCAAGCTTAGCCTCAGTAGAAACATACTAAACAGGAACACAGGCACTGGCAGGCCAGTTGATACCAGTGCTCCCAGGAGTGCACTGCTCTGCCTCTGACAGTGTATGGCTTAGCACAGGAACCTCCAGTTCTGGAAGAAGGAACCATTTGCAAAAGGAGATTCTGCTGTATTATATACAAGACACTAAATACTGAAAGGTTTGAATTATCCTGTACCAATGCTTGAAAGTTAGAGCAGTTCACTGTGGAAGAATTCATTGCTTGCTTGATGAACCAAGCACAGAGGCTGTGGTATGTTCAGAGAAACAAGGTCAAAACTATCAAGGCAAAAAATTATGTTCAGTAAAAACTTTTAAAATTAAGGATATTCATATCCATGCCAAAATCCCCCTCATCCCCCCCAACATAGGCCTATTCTATTCATTTTTTAATTTAAACTGATGAATTTTATTATCTGAAACTGAGATGCCCTGTTATAGATCAGCAGATGGTACCGCAGTTAACGTAAGTGTCTCCAGATTTCCAGGCTACAGGTTTAATAGCTATGAGTAGTGGTAATATAAGCCCTAAGTCTTTCAACCAATGAATGGTATCATGGATATAAATGAGTTTAATGTGCCGAGAATATGAGGTTTCATACCTGTTCCTTGAACTTGGTGCTATCCTCTGACAAATAACTGTTGTGGTTGAATGCTTTCCACCATTCCCCACCTCTTGTTTCACGTCCCACTGTCGGGGGTCACTTGTCTTTGCACTGAGAATGTTTACACCTTTCTTCACCTTTGCCCTGTTGGAAACAGCAATTGTAAAAAGTTTACAAGAGAGTCATTCAGGACTGTGACCTTCCAAATGTGGCTCAGGCATGGAAAGCTCAATATATCAGTTTTAAGCTAACTACTATGTATGTTTCTAATCCATCAGGAAATGAGAGTGGTATCATGAATGCAGATCTAAGGCAACATATCACTTTTTTGGACAGAGCCAGCTAACTGCGTGCCTTTATCCGTTCTGCCAGCAGCAGGCTGGAGATATGACTAAAGGGCTGCTTAACTTCACACCATCAAAATACATTCACCATGGCCTCTACTCAGCAGGAATTGGCTTCACCATAGCAAAGAGGCTAACGCATGGTAAAAAGATCATGTTTTTCTAAAATACTTATGCTACACAAAATGTTAGTTATTGAGCAGAAACCATCATCTAACAAGCCGTTGATATCTTCTTGAACATTTACGAGGACTCATCACCTAAGTTCCTTGGAAACACTCATCTTTTTGCATCTTTAGACACTAAAACACTTTAAAAATGTAGTCATGAATGATGGAGAGTACTTGTCTTCTCCTTGCAGTTTTTCAACAGTGAGACAAAACACAATCAATTTAAGGCATTGAAAAAGAAAACCTTTTTTCTCAGCATAAAAGCGTAAGTGCTTAATTCTCTCATTTGTAACACAAACCTGATGCACCTCTAATGCCTTCAGTTGAATTACTCAGAAATGAAAACAGAAGAAGTAAAGGGAGAATCAAATCTGTTACTGAAGGTTCATTAAAGCTCTAAGTCCCATTAAGTTTTCCAGCATATTACAGTTCAAATAAATGAATAATAAATAAACATTTCATTAATAAGAAAATACTACCACTAATCTTGAGATCTGTATAAACCCATCTGTATGTTTTGGGTAGCATGTATTTTAGGACATGTTTGGATGTATTTTAGGATACCGTTATTTAGCAACTGGAGAGAAGTAAAAGCTGATCATATAGACACTTTGTTCAGCTGTTCCTTGAGATGGACTCTGAAATGGCATAACACCAAAATGAGTTTCCTCATGTTTGGATTTTCAACAGAATTACAACTTTGTCAGCAGCTGCAAATAGCTCTTTCCACCATGTAGCTTGACACAGTCAATACCTGGGCTCCTGTTAATTAGGACGGACATTTTGTATGGCCAAAGGTAGTGGTAAAATACACTGCCAGGGGATGACAGACCATGGCTACAATGCCATTTTGTTAATTAACTACAGTATGGGGCATTAAGTTGAGTGGTTTTCACATATGCCATTATATAAAGCCCATTAAAAAAAAAAAAAATCCATCCCAGGGTAAAATAGGTTACGTTTAGTGAGAAAAATCAATGTTGTGATTGCACTTAGCACTGGCATTAGGGTATGAACACCCAGAAGATTGAACTTCCTAAATAAATATGCAGAAGCACAATTTGCAACTCTCCCTCTAAAAAGGACATTGAGTTTTATATAACAAGGTCAATGAATGAATCAGAATTAAGTCAGATAGTACTGAGCCCCATACATTTTTAAATGCAGTCTGTACACATATGCTACAAATGTTTTCACTTAAATTTTTACTTACTCAGTGTTTGAGTGCTAGCAAGGAAAAGCCTATTTAATTCGTTACCAAAGATTCATTGACCTTGTTGTATGCTTGTGATTAAATATTAATTTTTTAAATCAATAGTGCCAACCTTGTACCTAAAAATTTGTAAGTTATACTACCTCAATAAATCCTGAGACCAAGGACCTGGAGGCCAAAATGCTTGCCAGTCTCCTGTATTTACCCACCTAATCTATGCAGTACATATACATTTACCATGTTTACTTAAGGAAGGCAGGTATGGTGACAATAGAGAGATGACAAACAGCTAAAGTACTCCAGGTTTCCTTAGTGTGCCATCCTCCACTCCAATTCAAAAACTCTCCCCTTTGCCATGTCTGCTTATTCATGGGTAGATGGTTGTCCTCATACAGAGGCTTTTCTGCACAGCTCTACAACCTGAAAGTATCCACCAGCCATAACTTGTCAGCTTGGACTTCCACCCAAAGTGGAGTAAATATCTTCCTCTCCAACGTTATTCTAGACAATTAGTGTATTTACCACAGGAGTCACTAAATTGCTTCCGTCACGTTGGCTGTGTGGTCTCCATGGTAGGAGTAACTAAACCAAGGCCCCAAGTCTGCTGCTCAGGAAACTCACCCTTTCCTTTTTCTGTACCTAAAACACAGACCCTGCTAAGCAAACCACCTACATATGCACGGACCTTATGGGCAGCAGCTCATTTATTTGAGTTTGATTGTCTATGTGCTGAAATGTAAGCACAGTTTTTGATCTTTTGACAAAAGCAGACCTTGCAATGGAAAGATGAAAGACAGACCATCATTAAGAATGGCGCAGAATATCAGAGGTCAGCTTCAATGCCACACTGGATAGAGGACTCCATTTGAACGGGTGTTTGAAGCTTTATGAACACATGGTAGCCAGAACAGTGAAAGACTTTCTTGCTTGAACTTCTACGGTTATTAATTCATAGCACAGGAAACCTCTGCCTCAGCTCTGTCTCAAAATAACTGTCCCGCTTTAAATCTCTCAAGTGGAGAACTAAAACATTTTGCTGGCATGCAGAGCAAGCAGCATCTCAAAGACATTACAGAAGAAGTCTCCAGCAGTTTACCTAGAAATCATCACTTAATTTTTGTCAAGACCAAGTAAAAATATTTACTTACACAATCTCACAACAAATACACTTGTGTAAATGTTCAATTTCCAAGCAAATAGTTCATTTCCAAATAGAAGCTTTGAGTTGTATACAAAGATTTCCATTTATCACCTTAGCTTCCTAACACATCAAACTTAGAAATGATGCTTCTAATTAATACATTCTGATAAACTACAGTAGAATCTAGCTGTTCCATTTCACTGTCCTCAAATTACAAGAAAACTTAGCAGTATTTAGATGTTACACTATACAGCTGATAAAGACAGTAATTGAAAGGCAACTAATGAGCAACAGCCAGAGCTGAAGATGTGACTTCTGATTTCAGGAGCTGAAATTATAGTTTTCTATTTAAATTTAAATTTTAATCTTGCATAACTGCTATGGCCATGGAAGGGTTCTGCCGCCTGCAGCAGTGCTACAGGGAGGGCAGACTGCTGGGTACTCCACACAGTTCTTCACATGCTATATGATTTTGCTGACGTATGCTAGTATTGGACAGCATCACCTCTCTTATTCCAGAGAAAGTCATCCTCAAAGCACAGGTCCAAGCGGGGCTGCATTGCCTGGGTGTGCTGTGACACAAGTAAGTCACCTACCAGCAAAGGAAGAGTCTGAAGTTACGGGTACGTAACACCACATGAAGCTGATTAGGAGCCCCTGGCTCTACAGGGGACTCCCATATTTTCTGTAGCCTGGAACATCCAGCTGACTCACTGGTGAGAAAAGTTGGTAGCCTTAATCAGCCTGGGTGGCTCACTGCAAGATCAGATAAGCAGCAATGTCAGTGCCAGGGAAGCACAGAAGCATGAAGTGAGGCATGGAGACACAGACCAGGGCGATACCCTCAGCAGCAGCAGGTACCTTTTCTGTGGGTTAGCAGCATTGTCAAACTGCACCCCAACAGAAAGTTTACACAGTGGCTTGGGTAGACAAGGCTGCACTACAGAATAAAAAGCTAAATCGATACTAAATTCCTATAATCAGCTACCTCCATAATATCTGGAATAGTTTTCCAGACACTAAACCTTCTGGATCCTGTTAAGAGTTTTTGTTTTCAGAGGGTTATACTGAGCTCTGCATCTTCTGTGCTCCTCATAAATGCCATGCTATTCTCAGCATGCTGTACTTTGATCTGAGCGCAGTCTGGTTTTAGATCAGTGGCCACTGCTTTGTACAGACAGCCTCTTCAGCTCAAATCTGTTGTCCAAGCTGCTGTGCTGGAAAACTTCTCTTTAGGAAGTATTTGAAACATAAATGTTAGAGACAGATGCAGGTTCAGTCTAACCGGGGGGATCGGCTCACCTGTATGGTAGTCCCTGGGTCACACGAGCCGAGTGTGGGCATGCCGTACCTCCCCATGCTGGGCGAGGGACAGGACGCTGGTGCTAAATCCTCTGCATTTCCGAACATAAATCCCCATGTTTATATGTCAAGTTGGTGTTTCAACTTAACAAATACTGACCCCTTTTGGTCAGTCGTCTTTGGAGCCTCAATGCTTCTTGCAACTCTTTACTAATCCTCCCTTAGTTGCCCAGAGTAGTAGAAGCCCTTGACATTACTAACGGTAAAGGTCACATTGTAAGAAATTATTTTACTGTATCTCCCCAAACCCAGGGAGCCTCTCCTGGCGGGCTGCACTTTACAGTAAGTCTCTAACCTTCCCGAGTTCTGCCAAAAAAATTTCAACTTCTTCCTGCCTTGATTTAAGTTCACTCCTTTCCTTCTTTGTTCCCAGAGTAAATCAGGAGATTAAAGCCAGCTGCAGGAACCCATAAAACCCAGGCAGGAGACTAACCACAGCAATTAAGCAAGAATTGTTTTATTAAGTAAATCTTTTTCCTTTCATCTTTCATGGAATGAGTTGCTAGATCTCGCCGCAGCTCTGAACGAACAGGACAGACATCTGCCTGGCAAAACAATATTCATTAAAAGCCTCATTGCTGGCCTTAGTTGAAAAGCCAAAAGCAGAACAGAAGAATATGACCTGGTTAGCCAAGTTGACCTTTCAAATATGCTCCTTTAATTTGCAAAATACATGGACAGAGTAAGTGCGATTAAGCGGCTACAGCTCTGCTTAAGGAATATGGGAGATCAGGTATCAGCTCCAGGCTTCCTGCGGGACTCCGCACAAGCCAAAGGAGCCCCGTTTGCCTCCGTCCTACTCTAGCAAGCAGATTTCCACGAGGGCTTCACATGACCACCTCTTTGCTACAAGAGATTTTCATTTACAAGCTATATGCACTGGTAAGCAGCAAAAGAGAGTCCCATCTCAACCA